TAAAAGTTATGTGTGCTTATGTTTGTGTGTGTGTGTGTGTGTGTGTGTGTGTGTGTGTCAATTTGGTTTATTGCGTCATCTAGAATCCAGCACACAAACTACCAAAGATGTAAGGAAACGTAATAGGACAACATTATGCCCTCTTTCAGTATGTGATCCCTGAATGGTTGAGGTTAGTCAAATTCGACCTCAAATTATCTGTTTATATATATATATATATATATATATATATATATATATATATATATATATATATATATATATATATATATATATATATATATATATATATCCTTATCACAATGTATTCTACTTTTGATTTAAGAAAAAAATCCGCAAATAAAAGAATTAATAATTATTAAGTATCTAGTTTTTAATGTAACGGTGTAACGGTCACATATATGATTTTATATGATTGCAAGTCACAATTGTAGAAGAGAGACACATCATATTCAACCCACTCCCCCCCCCCCCCCTTTTTTTCAGTACTTGTTTTCCTTAGTCTTGTCATATTTCACATCCTTATCGATAATAAGTCTCAAATTTATGGCTGATTTAAGCTTTATCCTGCGATTAGTTTTATGTTCTATCGATTAGGAAAACCCCTACTGACTATTCTATAATTTATTTTCATTTCATAGTTACGTTTGGCCTCTCTCTCTCGGGTGATCAAGTGCACATAACTATAAAGCTAAGCTGGGCTAGGGATTTCTTCGACATACTACTTTATTGACCCAGACCAAGAGTATAAGGGCGACCTTCTTACACGAGAGATTATAAATACACAGTAATCCTCTCTGATTTTCCTTGATATCGAGTAAAACTTTCGCTCTGTTCTGTGGCCGTATGTACAGAGAGTTAATTTAATGTTACGAAAATAATTATGTTGCAACTACTACAGTGATTGATGGGTAGAAGGAATTAAGAATACAGTGTGTTTTGCTTATTCTTAATACGATATCGTCGAATAAAGAGAAGATAAGCTTCGTTGAAGAAATGAACACTGAACAACAAGCATTTACTGCAGTGTATTTATAAATTAAATACCGCGAGCAAATGTTTGTTGAAAGCTTTATTTAGATACGTTTCTGTCTTACTAGGTATGTGGGGGGGCCGGGAGGGGGGAGGTTCCTCTTTGATTAGGAAATTAAACTGAGGCAAACGTTTGCTTTCAAGGTCCTCGGTATTAAATTTGTAAATGACTATGTTTGCCTCCTCAAAGCGTCCGCTCGAACTAATCTATAGCAGGAAGACCGTAGTGGTGGAGCATCTACTGTCATTAGGAAGAATAACCTGTTCTTATTGATTCTGATATCATGCGTGTAATTGTCTCTGTAAAACAATATCATGTGTTTTTGTAAGCAAAGACTAAAATCCTTGACAAGCCCATTTATACAGCTGTTTGAAGACTTCCCGGGGTGTTCAGGTGGTCCTTTGATATCGTTCTAAATAACTATGCAGATAACCCAAGTTCGAATCTCCAGCCGGTCATTCTCAAACTATGGTTGTTAGTTGCTTCTTTTTTATATTGTTGTACTGCTTGTGCTACTGGTCCTATTACTACTGCCACAGCTTCTCGAGCTGTTGATTTTGTTCCTGTTCTTGTCAATATTGTTTTTCCTTAACGTATAGTGGACGTGAATAGTCTGCCCCCTTTTTGTCCAACTCTTCCTTCTGGTAATGTTCTCACTGTTTCCGTTGCAAAAAGAAAAAAATGTTTTAAAATTCTTATGCTTAAACAGTAAAGGGTTCTCCTAGCTCTTTTAAACCTGCATACTTTTTCAGATTCATAAATTTTTAATTTCAGGAAATCGACTTTATATCAATAAACCCGTCTGTCTGCTGAGTTTATTTTGGGGAATAATTTATTTTTTTTAAATCAGACATCGTGGTTACTATAACAGAAGCAGACTCACTATGAATACTCATAGCATAATATTTTATCTAATCAAATTTCCACCAAGTATTGTTATGAAAAAAGAAAAGCTTTCTTCTAGCCGTCTTTCAAATGGAGAGAAACCGGGGACTCTCGTAGCCTAGAGGATAAGGCATTAGCCTCTCATTTAAAGGTCCCTAGTTCGAATCTTGGTAGCGACCAAAACATTTTTAAATCTAAAAACTGTCACCTTTCACCTCCTTTTCTGCTCTCTAGCAATGTTCTGTCGTCTGCTTTCGTCTCCACTTTTTGCCCTCACCCCCTCACCTCCTTTGTCTCCTCCTCTGGGCTCCTGACTCTTTCTGCAGTCTTTCTACTGCTGCTCCTTGGCTCCTTCTCACTTTTGTCTTTCAGCTAAACCCCTGATCTTCTGGTAGGAAAGATCCACACCTAGCTTTCTCGGACAAGGGTGAAAAATCTCGGAGGGCCCGTGTGCAAGTTGCGCACGTGAAAGATCCCTTGGTGGTTTAAAATCGATAAGAGTAAGCTTCGGCCGCCACCTGGCAAAATTCAAAATTTCCCACCAACTGAAAATGTTAGGTGTGTCTGCGCGCTCATATGATCTTTTGTAGTTGCGAGCACCGTAAAACACTTACCATGACCAAACAAAACAAAACAAAAACAAAGACATACCCGCCAGTATTTCTCACCACTGTGCAGCATGTTGCCGTCGAGCTGATAATCGTTGTTGGTGTATTGATTTCATTGTAACTCGCTCGTGCTCTCATGAACATACACAGCACACATACACACACACACACACACACACACACACACACACACACACACACACACA